AACGACTTCCGAGAGATGTTAACAGTTCTGTTCAGGTCTATCTCCGCCAGGATCTCTTCTCGGCGTTTCCTTACTCTGGTGTGTGCTACCCTTGACGTCCTCGGCCGCTACAAGAGCACATCTGAGTTGGCCTTCAAGATGATTGGCCGGTTTGAACAGTCGTGATTGGTCGAGAATCAGACTGTCACTGGCGTGCACATGCAAGTACTTGAGAAAGCCGCAACATTGCATCAGACGCCTGGAGTAGGGTCACTGCAATCTTCCCGGCAATGTTGGGGAGAGAAATGCCCGTGTGGCTGTCCCATAGTTACCGGTCCCCTTTTCGCTTGCAGAGATGGACGATAGTCGCGTCTATAAAATTCCGGGGAACTTGTCATAGACGCCACATCTTATGAAATGTCTTATTTTTTTTATCAGTCGGGGACGACGTGCCTATAGATTTCAGCCGGAATCGCATTGTATACAGTGTTTCCCCACTGGATAGTTGATGTACCGCCTTGATCATTTCTGGGAGGGAGGGCCAGAAGTGCAAGTCATTGCTCGTTCCTATCTGGGGCAGCCGGCCGATGGTTACGTCGGAGGTCGTGATTGGGCTGTTGAGGACGATTCTGAAGTACTCTTTCAGCACTGCTAAATCATAGATTTCTCCACTAGTAGTGTTTTTCTGTCGGAGCTCAGCAGCAATCTGGTTTCTTTGATACTAAGGCAGTAGATCGTGTTGATGGACGTGAGGAGATTCTTCATTTCATTTTGGTCTATGTGTCCTTCAACATCCTTGACTTTGCGATCCATTCACGCATTTTGCATCTCACGCAGTCTCTGCCGCGCCAGGTGTCAATAGCGGAAGAAGTTCGCCTTGTTTGCGCCGGTGCGACGGCCGACGTAGGCTTTGTGCAGTCTAGTCCGCTCGGTGAATAGGTTGCTGATTTCTGTGTCGTTGTCGTCAAACCAGTCTTGATGTTAACAATGTGCGGTACCGACGACATTCAGGACGGTTGAGCGGGTGGCATTCTGCAGTTGAAAGCACAGTGTCTTGACGGTGAGGTTATTATCCGGAACCCGCAGGTTTTTAAATTCTTGGGCAAATCGAGCGATAGGCAGGCAAATCAACCAGAACAGTATTTGACTCACCAGATGGTCGCCTACCTTGTGGTCTCCTGTGATTGCCCTCAAAACGGGCCACGTGTTAGATGCGCTGGACCAACACGGGGGCCACATCGGACTCTGGCAGGCGTTACCTGTGCGCAATGCCAACATTTGCGGGGTGCGCTGGCAGACCCCGTTGTCGGCATTCGTCGCACAACTGGCCCACTGCCATCACCCCATTGTTGTGTGGTCAAAATCCTGGTCATTTGTGTGTGTACCAGGGGGTGCGGAGTGGAGCGCCAAGGCGAGGATCCGTCCGAGCCATCCACCTGCGGCCTTCCCCATCTCCGGTCTTCTTGACTTGGTCTTAACACCGGGCTCAGGCGGGGGAGAAGGAGAGAGTGTAGGTAGATGCTACGCAAGTCTACTGGCACTATAAACCCCTGCGTAAGTCACCGTCCCTGCTCCCACAATGCAGTCTGTGGGGCACACGGTGGATATCGTCGAAATCGACGGTCGAACTGTCGGTATCCTGTGAGGACACAATCGGCGACACATCTTGCGGATGACGATGCGATGACCCGCACAGCAGTCGGCGTCGTAGATCAACTTTGCAACCAGCACGTCGCGGCGGCCTCGTCTACGGACGAGAACGTATTCCAGCAACGACCAGCACCGTGACCGGGGTTGTATCCAGTTTGCGTTCTCCGGCGTCGGAAGGCGGAAGAGGGTGTTGGTCAGCAGGAAACGGTGTTCTGCACAGGTTCGCAGGAGGTGGCCTTTGTCGTTACAGCCGCCAATGCCATAGGAACCCAGCACTCCATCCCAGACAGCGTGGCCTATCCGTGCACGATCCCTGAAGTCACCAGGAGCGATCAGTTTGTCATCCTTCGGCACAATGACTAGGAGGGCGTGGAGGTCTTCGTATACACTGTTCCTCATATCGTCTGAGTTGGTCATTGGAGGGACGTAAGTGCTAATGACGGTAGAGAATTTTCTTCCCCGAAGAAGCGGGCGTGGGGTCATTACACAGTGCTTGATTCCCTGTGGTAAACAGGGCAGTTTTCCCGCCAATTTGTTCTTAATGACAAAGGCGATTCCAGTGTCATGTCGCTCTCCCTTTGGAAAACTGGCTCAGAAGAATGTATAGCCGGCACCCATTCCCTCCAGATGGCCCTTTTCGGAGATGCGAGCCTCGCTGAGAGCGCTGATGTCCACCTTGTGGCGTGCTAGTTCTTGAGCGACCAGCGTCATCCTCCTTTCTGGTCGGTTGCTCCACAGGTTACCTAAGAGGAAACGAACATTCCCGACTGTCAGAGTGAACAGATTCACTTTGTTGACCTGTAGGGAGGGGTCGAGGGGATAGGAACGCGGGGTGCTGTTGTTTGTTATTTATTCGACTGTCAGTTTTGCACCTACGAGCCACAGTATGCTTAAAGGCGGCATGATTTCCCGACATTAACTTTAGGCACCTTTTCTGGACCCCTTTCCCTCGAGGGGATAGATAGTGCCATTCCTAAATATGGATGCCTAGACATCCAAGACGACTGCTAAACTCCATCACAGTTCACAACTTTGTTTAGCGAAAGACGGCACGAGTTAGCCTGGACCGCTTACGGCAGTCCATGTCGCCCTTTCGTAGAACTTTTTCCTGCTGAAAGGGAAGGGGGAATGGGAAAGAGAGCAGAATTACTAGGTATGAGGGCGTGTGACAATTGATCCCCGTAGTCGCCGGCGTGGCCGCTTTCTTTTGCTGCTTTTCTATCTGCCTCATGTTCCCTGTCAATCGGTGGCTGGAGTCCCGCGTATGGCTTGCCACAAGCATTGCGAGAGCCCTGGGCCATTCAAGGCCGCGTTTTTCGCTGACTGGCTGCAATCGGACAGATTCCAAACGCACGCGCTAGATGCCTACGAACACCAACGGTTAACATTGGCCTTAGGAGACGGTTCACTGCAACTGCTTGCTGAGCTCCCTTTATGCTCTCCCTCGCCCTAATTGCGCTTGCCCAACCTAGTCTCTCTTCCATGACGTGTGCTTCGAGAACTCTAGCGTTGCCGTCCCATTTTCGACAAATTGGTGACTCCCTCAGAACACCAGAAAATCTCCTTCCCAATCTGCGATATAATCAGGCGTTGACAGCGGATAACTTTCCACCGGAATTTCAGTACATTTTAGTCCCCGCTTGTGACTCCCTGTCGGCCGCCCCGTTTACTCAAATGGCCGAGATGCATAGTTTTTCCGAGCCATCACATTCTGCACCATCTACTTCTCTTCACACAACTGAGGTCTGAGATTACGAAGTTTGCCCATGATATAGCTCCTCTTTATCCCGGAGCCCATCGAGGTCATTGGTCCGTCATGCCCAATCTACTTATTCAGCCCGTACCAACACAATCGCCACCTGCTTGTATCAGACCATCCTTGGTTCCAGAGCCCGTCGCTGCGTCTCTCCCTGCTTCTTCATCTGCAGTAATAGCAAACGGGTAAAATGGGTTAGCACGAGGACCAGTACGACCAAGCTCCGTGGCAGCTCTAGTACTTGTCGCACCGGAGTGGAAGAGGTTTCCCGGTCGGAAGTGGTGCGTAGCTGAAGGTCATTCCTCCCACAACAGCCTACCGTCTGTGCCCCGACCTCGGCCTATTCATCCAGGCCGTCAACACCATCCTGACCACCGCTTTCGATACCTGCTCCTTCTACTTGGATATCTGCTTCCGGCGTCTCTTCCGTTGGGTTTTTGTTGTTGCTGACGTTCCATGTTCCGTTCATGGCAGAAATTCCTTGCCGATTTCGAAATTCTAGTAGAATGTCGTAAATATTGTCTAAACGACCAGACTAAAAATCTCAGCTTCCGTAGCATCCCTTCTCCTGAAGCTGCCTGTCAACTCGTCGTCCTCGACGCTGGCCTGGATAATCCATTTCGCCAGCTCCCCATCAAATTCCCCAGCCTTGCCCATCCAAACTTCAGTGCCTCTGCTCCACCGTATCCAAGCCATTTGGCCTTCCTGTGTTTTCTCGGTATCGTCGCCTCGCCGCTGCATATCAGGCTGCCGTCAAGGGCGAGTTCGGGCACATGCTTCAGATGGGTATCATCCGTCAATCTGAGAGCCTTTGGGTCTCACTTCCTCACACGGTTCCCATGACTGCCACTGGTGACTGGCGTCACTGCGGTGACTACAGCGCCTTGAACCACGTCACCATCCCAGACCACTACCCTGCTCCACATATCTGTCGCAGATAGGCTGGGTCGCGTCCCCAATGGAAAGAGAAGGCGGACGCCAGGGGAGGATAATATATTCCGTACAGAATAACTGGAGAAGGAGTCGGGGAGAGTTGGCAGCCGGACGAGGGCACGTTCGGCGCCGGGTGAGCGGTGTCTCAAGTGTGTGTGCCAGGGAATGCGTCAAAACGTCTTAAGATCGGCCACGTCTGATCCGGCCTTGAATCTGATTAGTCGGATGGAAAGCTAAGTGGGCGAATGCCAGACGGCCCTGGTGCGCACGTGCAGACACTCGCGAGAGGCCCAGCGTTGCGACAGGCGCTCGGAGTAGGGCTACTAAATATCCATAACTTTGCAGGTGTCCCATTCGGTAAGTCTGTAATTCAGAAGTTTGACCTGGCCCACGGATGCCAGTAGATCCACATCATCCAGGAGAACGTTGCGAAAACAACCGTATCGGCTGGGCTCAAAGCGTACTGTAGCCGATCGCGTCTGGGTTCCTTTCGTCTGGCATCTTTGACGCGAATGGTCTCATCCGGCGTATCAATCCTGCCCTGACGATGTCCGTTCTGAATCCCGTATACAATATCACATACAGGCCAGTCCTGTCCGACTGACATATATTTCTGCCCTGACGGTGTCCGACTATAATCCGTTATTTACCGAATGAAATTACTGACAAAGACAAGGGAGACTGTCTTGTCTTTGTCGGTAATATCATTCTGTCTATATCGTGCGCCGCTGTGCGGCTGCTGGTTGGGCTCGAGAGAGAGAGTCCATAAGGCACAACGGAACGAGTGAGTTCCGTAAGAACGATCGGTGAGCGCCCCCTACCACCGTTTTATACCGCCACATTCAGGCCAGTTCTGTCCACATTTTTCTGTTATTATTATCGAGTTTTTTTTCTTCTGTAAAATTAATCCAACAATTTTTAAGTGGGTTTTTTACCGCTCGCTCATCATTTTTCTTGATGGACTACAAATTCAGAAACAACGAATTGCATTTTGTGCAGATTCTGCCTGCGTCGTCTAAAATTCTTATGTAAATTTATTTTTAATTGCATTGATGGCACCCCGACGGGTCTTTAATAAAAAATTCATGTGGACATCGTAGGCTGCCCGCCCCTATCCAGCAGATGTTCCTATCTCCTCACCTGTGTGAACCGTTTCACCCAATGGCCGGAAACTATCCCTCTGCCTGTTGTCGAGGCCTCAATGGTGTCCAAGCCCTTACTCAGTCGTTGGTTTGCAATAATCAGTGTCCTCCTCACCACAATGACCGACCTCGATGCCCACTTTTTAACCCGGATCCGCATCCGTAAGACAGTCCATCACCCGGCGACCAAGATGGTCGTACTGACGACCTTTTCGGGATGGTATGGTCGATAGGACAAAGGTTCCCCAATCAGAAATCAAATAAGACGGGTTGGGTTGGACAAATTTTACTGCGGAGGAAGTGCGTACACAAAGGCTCTGCATGCAGTCGCCGAGAACGCTTTCTCCAGACAAGTTGTATTGTCTGTGTCCGCCGTTGAGGTGCTTAGACCCCAGCGCGTGTGCGCCTTTCGCTCTTCCTCAGTGTCGCCAGAAAATCAGGGAAGGGACAGCGTTAATTGGCCTCGATCGCTCGCGAGGCTAGTGACAAGCCTCGCGTGTCCCAGCAGCGACTCGAAAAAGAGTGTGAGGTGGACAGAAGGGCAGTGTGACAAAACAGCGGAGAACTAGGGGGCGCAGACCGCCACAACCTCCTTATGTGCCACAGAGGATACGGAGAACTAGACGGCCTGTCTCTCCCTGGTCCTGTTGGGCATTCGCTTCGCCCTCAAGTCGGACTTTGCCTGTTCCGCCGCTGGACTGGTGTTTGGCGTCATTGTCCGGCTTCCCGGCTAACTGATCTCCCCAACCCGTTTCGGTGTGTTCGAAGGTCCGGACAACCTCCTCCATTGTCTCCAACATTTTATGCGAGTACTCCCCTCGGTTCCGCTAGACCATAGATCTCCGAGTCTCATCTCAAAAAAGACGTGGTGACGTGCTCTCACGTCCATTTCCTATGTGGTCTCGTCCGCCAGTCACTTCCCATTCAGCTAGTGAAATTACTTTCTACCGAAAGATCATCATAAAAGCCTTTCCTTCATACTTAAGCCTACTCTCTTTGTGGAGAAGTTTATTCTTGTGGATATAAAAAAGTTGTCCAGAATGTTGGAGTCCGCACTAGTGTTCCAAAGTAATGAGCACATGGGGTTCGAACCGGGGACCGCAAAAGTGAGAAGCCTGCTCCGCTAATCCATGCACTAACGACGCACGGCTGGACTGCACAGCTAAAAGCTTTGTTAATTCGTCCCCACAGGGCCACGTAGGATATTTATGCAATGGTTGTCAAACGATAGCATACAAGATGCATCAACTAGAGGAAGAAGTAAGAAATCTGAAGGAACTTGTACACAAGACTCTTTCTTCAGAGGACCGCCTGGTGTTATCTACGCATAAGTTAATTCGGAGTGGAGCGAGAGGCATCCAGTGCAAGGCCTCCACAGAAAACAATCATATGGTGGATAAGACATCTGCTATTAGTAGTCAAGTAGCGGTTGCCGATGAAAAAAGAATATGAAGACACTTAACACCACGGGAAAAGTCGCCAGAATGCGGGAGTGTATCAGTCTTGCCCGAAAAGCAGTTGCAAAAGGAAACGAATGTAAATGTGCTAACAGAAAAAGTGGAAGGAATGGAGCAGATGACGCCCAACCTTAATAATCCCCAAACAGTGTGCTCATTTCCGGAGCCTAAATTAGAGGGATCTCCAATTAGCGCAAAGACATATGGCTATGGACCCAGGGTGGAATTAGCTGCCACTGCAATTCCCATGTCAACAGAGTTTAGGACCGATCTGAGGAAGCCTCTAATTCATGGGGTCAAGTTCTCCACAGAGCCCTCTGATGGGAGGCATTGTTGATCAACCACGGTGCGTAACTATTCACGATGCCTCAACAGGATCCGCAGAAGAACTTCACGAGGACAAAAATACCAATATGGCAACCCCCTCCTTTTCGCCAGTGCACTTCAACGAGGCCAAAGGACCAGCCAACGACGT